ACACACAGAGACTTAGATACACACAGACACACACAGTAGTACAGCTCCCGGCACTGTGACACACAGACAAACACACACAGACACACACAGACACACACAGACACACACACACTTAGACACACACACACACAGACACAGACACACACACAGACTTAGACACACACAAACACACAGTAGTACAGCTCCCGGCACTGTGACACAAAGACATACACACAGACACACACACTTAGACACACACACACACTTAGACACACACAGACACACAGTAGTACAGCTCCCGGCACTGTGACACACACACACACACAGACACACACACTTAGACACACACACACACACAGTAGTACAGCTCCCGGCACTGTGACACACACACAGACACACAGACACAGACACACACACTTAGACACACAGACACACAGTAGTACAGCTCCCGGCACTGTGACACACACACACACAGACACACAGACACACACACTTAGACACACACACACACAGAGACTTAGATACACACAGACACACACAGTAGTACAGCTCCCGGCACTGTGACACACACAGACACATACACACTTAGACACACACACACACTTAGACACACACACACAGTAGTACAGCTCCCGGCACTGTGACACACACAGACACACACACAGACAGACACACACACACACTTAGATACACACACACACACACAGACACACACACTTAGACAGACACACACACACAGTAGTACAGCTCCCGGCACTGTGACACACAGAGACACACACACACACTTAGACACACACACACACTTAGACACACAGACACACACACACAGAGACACACACACAGTAGTACAGCTCCCGGCACTGTGACACACACAGACACACACACACAGACACACACACTTAGACACACACACACACTTAGACACACACAGACACACAGTAGTACAGCTCCCGGCACTGTGACACACACACACAGACACACACACAGACACACACACACACAGACACACAGACACACACACTTAGACACACACACACACAGACACACACACAGACACACACAGTAGTACAGCTCCCGGCACTGTGACACACACAAACACAGACACACACACTTAGACACACAGACACACAGACACACACACTTAGACACACACACACACTAAGACACACACAGACACAGTAGTACAGCTCCCGGCACTGTGACACACACACACACACACGCAGACACACACACACACACTTAGATACACACACTTAGACACACACAGACACACACACACTTAGATACACACACACACACACAGTAGTACAGCTCCCGGCACTGTGACACACACACACAGACACACACACACTTAGACACACACACACAGAGACTTAGATACACACAGACACACACAGTAGTACAGCTCCCGGCACTGTGACACACACACACACACACAGACACACACAGACACACACACACTTAGACACACACAGACTTAGACACACACAAACACACAGTAGTACAGCTCCTGGCACTGTGACACAAAGACATACACACAGACACACACACTTAGACACACACACACACTTAGACACACACAGACACACAGTAGTACAGCTCCCGGCACTGTGACACACACACACACAGACACACACACTTAGACACACACACACACACACAGTAGTACAGCTCCCGGCACTGTGACACACACACAGACACACAGACACAGACACACACACTTAGACACACAGACACACAGTAGTACAGCTCCCGGCACTGTGACACACACACAGACACACAGACACAGACACACACACTTAGACACACAGACACACAGTAGTACAGCTCCCGGCACTGTGACACACACACACACAGACACACAGACACACACACTTAGACACACACACACACACAGACACACACAGACACACACACACAGTAGTACAGCTCCCGGCACTGTGACACACACAGACACACACACACTTAGACACACACACACACTTAGACACACACACACAGTAGTACAGCTCCCGGCACTGTGACACACACACAGACACACAGACACACACACACTTAGACACACACACACACAGTAGTACAGCTCCCGGCACTGTGACACACACACACACAGACACACACACACTTAGACACACACACACACTTAGACACACACACACACAGTAGTACAGCTCCCGGCACTGTGACACAAAGACATACACACAGCCACACAGACACACACACTTAGACACACACACACACACACAGACACACACAGACACACACACACAGTAGTACAGCTCCCGGCACTGTGACACACACACACACACACGCAGACACACACACACACACACTTAGACACACACACAGAGACTTAGATACAGAGACACACACACAGTAGTACAGCTCCCGGCACTGTGACACACATACACACAGAGACTTAGATACACACACACAGACACACACACAGAAAGACACACACACACACTTAGATACACACACACAGAGACACACACAGACACACTTAGATACACACACACAGAGACACACACAGACACACACAGTAGTACAGCTCCCGGCACTGTGACACTCACACACACACACACAGACACACACACACTTAGATACACACAGACACACAGTAGTACAGCTCCCGGTACTGTGACACACAGACACACACACAGACACACACACACACACAGACACACACACACTTAAACACACACAGACACACAGTAGTACAGCTCCTGGCACTGTGACACACACACACACAGACACACACACAAACAGACACACACACAGAGACTTAGATACACAGACACACAGACACACACAGTGACTTAGATACACACACACACAGTAGTACAGCTCCCGGCACTGTGACACACACACACAGACAGACACACAGACACACTTAGACACACACACTTAGACACACACACAGAGACTTAGATACAGAGACACACACACAGTAGTACAGCTCCCGGCACTGTGACACACACACACACAGACACACAGACACACACACTTAGACACACACACACAGAGACTTAGATACAGAGACACACACAGTAGTACAGCTCCCGGCACTGTGACACACACACACACACAGACACACACAGAGACTTAGATACCCACACAGACACACACACACAGACACACACATAGACACACAGAGACACACAGACACACACAGACACACACAGACACACACAGACACACACAGACACACACCTTCTTGGTATAGAACTTGTTGAGCTGCGTCTCTGCCCCGTGTCTCCTCCAAACACACACACAGACACACACACTGACACACACACACAGACACACACAGACACACCGCCACACACAGACACACACCTTCTTGGTATAGAACTTGTTGAGCTGCGTCTCTGCCCCGTGTCTCCTCCACACACACACACCGCCACACACAGACACACACCGCCACACACACAGACACACCTTCTTGGTATAGAACTTGTTGAGCTGCGTCTCTGCCCCGTGTCTCCTCCACACACACACACAGACACACACACAGACACACACACAGACACACACACAGACACACACACAGACACACACAGACACAGACACACAGACACACACAGACACACACACAGACACACACACAGACACACACACAGACACACACAGACACAGACACACAGACACACACAGACACACACCTTCTTGGTATAGAACTTGTTGAGCTGCGTCTCTACCCCGTGTCTCCTCCACAGACACACACACAGACACACACACACCGCTACACACCACCACACACAGACACACACCTTCTTGGTATAGAACTTGTTGAGCTGCGTCTCTGCCCCGTGTCTCCTCCACACACACACACAGACACACACACAGACACAGACACACAGACACACACATAGACACACACACACAGACACACACACACACACAGAAACACACATAGACACACACACACAGACACACACCGCCACACACAGACACACACCTTCTTGGTATAGAACTTGTTGAGCTGCGTCTCTGCCCCGTGTCTCCTCCACAGGCAGAGACACACACACACAGAGACACACATAGACACACACAGACACACACACACACAGACAGAGACACACACACACCGCCACACAGACAGAGACACACACACCTTCTTGGTATAGAACTTGTTGAGCTGCGTCTCTGCCCCGTGTCTCCTCCACACACACACACAGGCACACACACAGACACACACACAGACACACAGACACACACACAGACACACACCTTCTTGGTATAGAACTTGTTGAGCTGCGTCTCTGCCCCGTGTCTCCTCCACAGGCAGAGACACACATAGACACACACAGACAGAGACACACACACAGACAAACACACACACAGACACAGACACACACAGACACACACATAGACACACACACAGACACACACAG